AAGGGACAAACTTTTTCTATGAGCACAAAGTAAATATATTTCACTAGCACATAACTACTTAATAATCATGTTCAAATCTCTGTGTGTGCCTGGAGATCGGGCCCAGCAGTCAATAAAGCTATTTTTGAGCAATGGGGCGAAAAAGCCAAAAAGTTGTTGACGGTAAAAATTTACTTCCATCAGAAAGCACGTTTAACCAATTCTTAATACGGTAGCATATTGAAAGGACTTCATAATATAAAAATACTTTTTATCAATCTTTTTTTTGCAACATATTCTACTTCATCAAAGGTAAAAAATGCGCTTGAAATTGGGTCAACATGTTACAATTAAAGCCATTTTTCTCAAACTCAGTTTTATTACACCCTGCGTAGCAAAATGTGGCATATCTTTAAAACTACTCAAGATATTTGAAAAATTTAAAAATCTGCTACAACTATGTCTATATGTCCTTATTTCAATATCCAACATTTCTGACAGGTGGGACCTTTCTCCAGGCACACACACACACACACACACACACACACGCACACGCACACACATACACACACAGAATGTATTATGGTAACAATGCATGGCAAAAGGAAGCACATTTATCAAATGGCGCACATCAAAAATGTATAATTGATACACAAATTACAGTCACGGTAGGAGAGTAAGGATTCCTGGTAAGACCAAATAATGCTTTCTCCAACATAGCAAGTTCACTGGTATCAGCGGTGTAACGATTAAGCTTTTCACATTACACGTAAAAGGAAGTAAAGTTTGACTCCTATAAGGAGAAGTTTATCTTCCCGAAAAATGTCCGACTTTCTGCTGGAACACACTCCCCACAACCCGTGTTCACCACTAACGTACACACAAGGTCAGCACATACCGCCTCTAAAATTTTTACAACTGCTGCAATAGTGGCATAAAAGATGTACAACATAATTACAACATAATTACAACATACGTACATGAATGTAAGCTCACTATAACAAAAACGGATTGGAACTGCACTCCCTCTCAAAACAGGGCAATGCTAAAATACAGCTGAAGTTCCAGAAACTAAGCAGATTTTCAGTACACACAACAGTAGCGACGGTACATGTAGTGGGCAAGGAAAAGAATACGACCAATACGACCAATATCCCACATAATGCTGATTTTTCTATACTTCTGTTTTGTACTTTGGTACTCTCCCATTTTGGCAAACTGGGCAGAGCTATACATATATATATATATATATATATATATAATATATATTATATATACA